ATGTTCTCTGTTGTTGCATGCACAGTGCTTCCATAAAAAAAAGGCCCTGTAAAGAGCTTTTGATCCAAGAAATTGGAGCCACTCTTCCAATCCTTGGATCAAATTTGATTATTTCCCTTTTCCAGGTACCATATGATATATAGGTTTAGCAGTTGCCCATATTTAATAATAATAATAATAATAATAATAATAATAATAATAATAATAATAATAATAATAATAATAATGCATACAAAGGCACAATACGGTGACTGGAACATTACACAAATAACCTGCACATAGGAAAATGAAATTCATGACTATGTTACAGTCCGATTTTGATCATTAGTCATAATAATAATAATAGCAGTAATAACAATAATATTAGAGAGATATGTACACACAACTTGCAAATAGGAAACTGAAACTTGCGACTGCATTTCAGTCTGACATGGACCATTAACTAATCATAGAAAAACTAGTCGTCACGAGTTTCAGTTTCCTATGTACATGTTGTGTGTGTATTCTTCCAGTCACAGTATTGGTATAAAATACCAATACAATGGAAAAAGATTTGATAAAACCCACTGTGTGGGCAAAAACATTGTTAATAAAAGATAAGAGATCACACTATACAGGCAGACCCCGCTTTACAACTTTTTGCTCATACAGCAGCTTTCAATTATACCCATTCTTCATTTATTCAGGCTACCTATGATAAATATATTCACCATTCGCTATAAGCTAAGTACAAAAATATTTTAAGGTTAGTAATGTGTGTACTGAATATGCATTTTTTAGGCCTAGCTCTATTTCTTACTTAATACATGATATGTAATCAGGCTTTTATATGCATTTGAAAGTGAAAAACCTATGAAACCATACCCCGGTCGGGATTGAACCCACGGTCAGAGTCTCAAAACTCCAGCCCGTCGCATTAGCCACTAGACCCGCGACGGGCTGGAGTTTTGAGACTCTCTGACCACGGGTTCAATCCCGGCTGGGGTATGGTTTGTTTGCAATCGTGTCATTACGATTTTGTGAGTCATGAAAAACCTATGATTCACTTTACAAATATTTTCACTTTCTAGCAGTAGCCCGGAACCTAACCTGCTGTATAAGTGGGGCCCTCCTGTACCTGTTCATCTAGCAGTTATAGGTACATGGGTGTTAGTCGACTGGTGTGGATCATATCCTGGGGGACAAAGCAGAAGACCTCAATGGAAATAAAACAGTCCTCAATGACATACTGACTTTCTTGGGTTGTCCTGGGGTGGCTAACCCTCTGGGTTAAAAATCCAAACAAATCTTAAACAGCCTCTCACTTAGCGATGTACTCATTTAGAGATGACTCGGACTTATGACGGGCTCTCTGACCAGTATGCAAACCTAAATAATGTATATTAGAGCTGATTTCTTCTATTCTGTTTATTACAATATACAATGCAATACTGTATAAACATTTAAAAATATACCAGAAATGTTGTAAATGATGCAAAGGTGACATTAAAACAATATGAAAGATGATTGAAACAAACCCACTACCATTATAGTATGCTCTTCACTGAGCGACGAATTCATTTACAGATGTAGTTTTAAGAATGGAACTCCATCGTTAAGCAAGGAGAGGCTGTACGTATTATCTTAGCATTACAAGTGAGGTTGTAAGCTTGTTACACATGTGACCCAGATAACTTGACCTAAGCAGAGTGCGGTGGCTATTGTCTTCAGCTCACAACCAAGACAATGTGGGATCAACCCCCACCTCTCACTCTAACACCTGCTGGCCTAGAAATCAGTCAACTGTCATGGTTGGATCTTTAGAGAAGATGTACAAAAGGACTCAAAAGGAAACAGGCCACGCTCTTTAGCTTTCTTGGGTTACCCTGGGTTACAAATCCAAATAAAGTCGCCTTGTCTTCAACCTTAAAATACTAAACGAAAATATATTCCTGCCAGAAACTGGACTAGATTAAAAATTCATCTTGAAATAATGTCAAGCAAAGTCACATGGATGCGGTACGTTGATGATATTTTGGTCATTGTACCCAAAAATCTAGACGTATGTGGCATCCTCAACACCATCAACACTCTGGAACCTACTATTAAATTTACACTTGAGGAGGAGAAGGACAACCAATTACCTTTTCTTGACGTTCTCTTACGCACTGGTGAAAACAGACTTTCTTTTAAAGTCTACCGGAAACCTACCTACAAGAACGATCTTCTACATTTCTTCTCTCACCATGACACCAGAACTAAAAGAGGGGTAGTTATTGGCTTCTTTCTGAAAGCCTACAGAATACGTATCCAGTCCACAGTTCCACGAAGAAGAATGCACATACATCACCAATTCTTTTAGTTCACCACACTTTCCCCTACACTTCATATGTGACTGAAGGAAACATGCAACATGTATCCTCAACAAGACCAACACCAATCAAGTTGAAGAAAAGCCTCCAAGTTACATTGTTTGACCGGTCAGCAACGTTGCCACTAATGTTTCAAAAATGTTTGACAGAAAACTGGCTAAAATATCTACCAGCTCTTCAACTACTATTAGGATACAAAAACCCAAGCATGATTCTGGCACAAGTGCAGGAATTTACACTATACCATGTAGGGGGGTGTGACAAAGTATATGTAGGGGAAACAGCAGGTTAGGTTCCGGGCTACTGCTAGAAAGTGAAAATATTTGTAAAGCGAATCATAGGTTTTTCATGACTCACAAAATCGTAATGACACGATTGCAAACAAACCATACCCCAGCCGGGATCACTGAACACAAAAATGCTTGCAGAAATGATGACGACAAAAATGTGTGTGTTCAACATAGGGACGATGTTGGACATCTCATGAAATTCAGTGAAGCTAAATTAGTGATTAACGACGACAAATTAAGACGGAGAAAATGCATAGAAGCTGCACTAATTGCTGTCAGTAACACTATAAAGCAAAAATCCGGTAGTTACAGTATCTCAAAATTGCTAATCAACAGGATATTACCAATTCTAGAAATTGCTGTTACATGATGTCAGCAGGTCCCTCTCTAGCCATCCGTCTCACCACCTTAGTTCCACTACTACTACTACCACCACCTCGGTGGCCCAGTGGCCTGGTGGCTAAAGTTTCCGCTTCACACACGGAAGGCCTGGGTTCGATTCCCGGCGGGTGGAAACATTTCGACACGTTTCCTTACACCTGTTATCCTGTTCACCTAGTAGCAAATAGATGCCTGGGTGTTAGTCGACTGGTGTGGGTCGCATCCTGGGGGACAAGATTAAGGACCCCAATGGAAATAAGTTAGACAGTCCTTGATGACGCACTGACTTTTTTGGGTTATCCTGGGTGGCTAACCCTCCAGGGTTAAAAATCTGAACGAAATCTTATCTCTCTTTTATCTTAACCACACGACACTTCACCTTAATCCTGCCACTATATGTACGCGTTTTCTTAGGTTTCTCTGTATTAGGACTGAAGAAGCCACTCGTGACGAAACGTTTCCTTTACTAAATGTCCTGAACTGTACATAAGTGTCTTTTTCCACATCTTGTCAGCATCACCATACCATTTCCTCACACACAAAGTTACAGACTTTTCAAGCAAAGTTCCAGACTTTTCAAATCACTGATGTCAGCAAGTTATCTAGGCTATCTAGGCAAAAGGTTCAGTGGCATGTTAAAATATACATATCGAGTTATTCAACAAAATAATTGAGATTTAGGTTAGATTATTGTTTACCACCCAGTTTAGATATGGGAAAACTCTCCACCAGCAAGAAAATGCTGGAGAATTTGGAGCAATCATTAACTTCATCCATGTAATATATGGAGCGAGCTTTATAAATGCTACCTCACCTACTGCATATGCTTAACTTGTCCTAGGCATACACTTCATTTTCTAATGGATTTTGTGTCCAATTTTCTAGTGTGAGCCAAGAAAATTTAACCTTAGTAATAAAAGGTTATATACAGTACTTAAATGTAATTAAACCTAAATTCACATAATTAACTAGCAACAAAAAAATGATGTAAACGGAAGGGTAACGTCTAGCAGCAGGGGGGTACAACAAAATTGATTATTATACCAGAAACAACATTCTCGCTATGAACGCTTTCGGGACTGGCTGGCACAAGGGGGTACACATCCTTAGGGCTCCAGACCCCTCAGATATGACTCAGATACCATGGGGAAACGTGTAAGCAAGCCTGCGGCTCCTGCAAGCATTGCAGGGCACAAATGTTGAGTGACAAGTGGTGGGTAGAGGTAAGTGATGCTTCATAACTATGAGGTTAGTAAATTTAGGCATAGGTATCCATAAGTACAATTATAATACATAGTGTAAATTACCTACCAGGATAACCGAAAAGTCAGTGACTTATTTTTACTGGGATTCTTGACTTATTTCCAATGGGGCCCCTGACTTATTTCTATTGGGGTCCCTGACTTACTTCCATTGGGGTCCTTGATTATGAGTCCCTCACACCTGTCACTCACCTGGGCAGGTGTAGATCACCTGTTAAGTGGTAGGACAGGTACAGGGGGGTGGTGTAAGGCAGGTGTGACTGGCGATAGCGACGCCGCCCGTGGGTGGGCGAGCAACAAAGGGTGGGCGGGCGGGCGTGATGGGCGGGGGCGGCCAGGGGCGGTGCGCGGAATGCGGGCGCCACGCACCAGCCCACACCCGCCCCTCACTTTCTCCACCTCTAACACCCTCTCCCTCCCACATAACCCACGAGCCCCACCCACACAGCACCCACAAACACCCAGCACAAACGCCCACTCACCTAATCTAAGATCCGAGTAGAAGTTCCGCAGATTTTATGAAAAACATTTGGAGCGATTTACCCCGTGCTCATAACAGAACCCCTCACTGTATAAGCAACACAAGGTGGGTGCCACCACACTCCCTGATCCTCCTACACCAGCTTCAATCCCCTTATAGCCTCCTCAGGAGCACCTTCCTCTCGCTCATCTGATCCCATCTTTTCTCTCTCAGTCGCGTCTAACATAATTCTCCTTTTCGCATAGCCACAAAAACCACAACAAAAGTTGTGGTTTAGAGAATTTATATACAAAAATGTGAATTATACACGGTTTATTTCTTAGTATTTTCTCGTCAATGAACGGTAGGTGGAGGATGAGGCCCACGAGCGTATTTGTGAGGGTATAAGGTTGAGAGAAATGGTAATTATGGGGCATAATGGTGGGTTTAATGTGTCCCGGGGTTAGGTAGCTTCTGCTACGTGATCCAACATTGACCAAAACAATGTACATTCTTCACCTCAAGTGTCCTCATAAGTGACTCCTGTTCTCAGTACTTGCTATATCCATCACAATTTACTTATTCTTTATCAATTGGAGCTACATAAAATGTAAATATGTTATTACACAAGATAGTACGTTGGTGTGTTTGGAGACCCCAATGGATGTAGTAATTTGAGTTTATTTAGGTGCAGGTACACATAAATACAGTTATACAAATTATTATATATAATAACATATCCATAAATTATCTAGGATAACCTAAAGCCAGACAAAGTAACTTATTCTCATTAGGATCCTCTAAATATCTTATTATTTAAACCTTACGAGAAGTTTTGGCTATAGTTATGACTGCTGCTTTGTATGACCCTTGTGAGTTTAGTGCTTAGTTTTGATTGTAATAATGATATGATTACTACTTGGCAGAACTTGGCCATCACTTTGCATTTTAAAGCACATACAGCCTGTATCGAAAAATTTATTTTTGGAGATATCAGAAAAAATATATTTAATTTGGTTTTCATAGCCTATCTAAGTTAATCAGCTGGTATAATGATACTGATGATTTACCTGGAGTTTACCTGGAGAGAGTTCCGGGGGTCAACGCCCCTGCGGCCCGGTCTGTGACCAGGCCTCCTGGTGGATCAGAGCCTGATCAACCAGGCTGTTACTGCTCGCTGCACGCAAACCAACGTACGAGCCACAGCCCGGCTGGTCAGGAACCGACTTTAGGTGCTTGTCCAGTGCCAGTAAAAGACATAAAACATAAGAAAGAAGGAACACCGCAGCAGCCCTACTGACCCATGATAGGCAGGTCCAAGCCCCCCACTGACCCAAGCCAGTTTTATAACCGAGTGTTTCCTCACTGTCTGACTTTTTTTGGGGGAAGGAGGGTTATCCTACGTAATTTACACATATATTACTATGTATGTTTTTTGTACTTATGTGGATCTGTATCTAAATAAACTTACTAATAAGTGCTTAGTATTAAATTGTGTCATGTGCCGGGATGAATGTAAATAAAGAGAATCCAGTACTAAGTTATGTTAGGTTATTTTAGCTTGGATTAGATGGGTCTTGTTTGGTTAGGTTTTTATCAAATTTTTTTGGTTAGCCTTGGCTAAGTCATCATAAAATGTTATTCCTTTTTTTATATACCCTCCAGGTATCTAATATGAAAATACACATTACTCCCTATTTCCTTCCCTTTAAGGAAGGTACTATGATGCTGGTAAGGGGACAGGGGCTCGTGATATAAGGAACTGAATGATTCTTCTGTTCTTTGACTTGAACCAAAATGCCTCCCATTCCTCTATTATATAAATATTATATATTATATATATATATATATATATATATATAATATATTTTAAAATATATATATATATCCCCCCCCCCCCCCCCCCCTATATACACAAAACAACACCTTTTCACAAAAACCACAAAACACACATAACGGAACGGGCACGCAAAAAAAATAAATAATAATAATTTATATAAAATTATTATAAATTATTTTAAAATGGGGGTTGGATTTTGCCAGTTGGGGGATAGAAACATAACATAAAACACCACCCAACAAAAAAAAAAAAAAAAAAAAAAAAAAAAAAAATAAAAAAAACACAAAAACAAACACCACACACCACACACCACACACGCGCACACACACACACACACTCACACACACCCCACACACACCACACACACCACACACACACAACACACCACCACACACACACACACACACACACACAACACACACACAGTGGACCCCCGCTTTACGATCACCTCCCAATGCGACCAATTATGTAAGTGTGTTTGTACATGTATGTTTGGGGGTCCGAAATGGACTAATCTAATTCACAATATTCCTTATGGGAACAAATTCGTTCAGTACTGGCACCTGAACATATTTCTGGAATGAAATAATATCGTAAACCGGGGGTCCCACTGTATATATATATTTATTTATTTATTTATTTAACAAGCTGGCCCTCCCCCACTGAGGCAGGGTGACCCAAAAAGAAAGAAAATCCCCAAAAAGAAAATACTTTCATCATCATTCAACACTTTCACCTCACTCATACATAATCACTGTTTTTGCAGAGGTACCCAAAATACAAAAGTTTAGAAGCATATATAAAGATATATAACATATCCCTCCAAACTGCTAATATCCCAAGACCCCTCCTTTAAAGTGCAGGCATTGTACTTCCCATTTCCAGTACTCAAGTCTGGCTATATAAAAATAACCAGTTTCCCTTAATCCCTTCAGTAAATATTACCCTGCTCACATTCCAATAGCTCGTCAGGTCCCAAATACCATTCGTCTCCATTCACTCCTATCTAACACGCTGTAGCTTGCAGAGGAATAATAAACAAGCAAAAGTCAAGGTTTTCATTTTACCATCTAGTGTTTTTATCAACTTGTCATTAGTACAACTTCTTCCCCAAAAGTGATGAATTGAAATACAGTGGTACCTCGAGTTTTGAACACCTTCCAAATCGAATAGTTATGTAAGTGTATTTTTGTAAGTGCTTTTGTAAGTGTATTTTTGGGGGTCTGAAATGGACTAATCTAATTTACATTATTCTTTATGGGAACAAATTCTTTTGGTATCGGCACTTGAACAGCCTTCTGGAACAAATTAAGTTCATAACTCGAGGTACTACTGTACATATGAAGTAACAATGTGATTAATAACTGTAGTGAAATCTCATTGCTTGTGTGGCTAAGTGCTCAGTTCAGCATAGATTACCTTGTACAGTAACTCGTGACCAGATCTACCTGGAGCTCATTACCTTGGTACCTTGTTCAGCTATCAAAACTTTGGGGTCCAGTCCCTGGACCCATCATGTACCTCTGTTATCTTTTGACTACCGCCCACAGAATGGGTATGGGCTGCATAATAAAGATATTGAACTAATCAACATAGAGACTACAAGACATATATAAGCATCTTGGCTCGGTTTTCAAGGTAAATTCACAGTATGAAGTTAGGTTTGATTATGCAATATTTCTTTTGGATGGTGAAAATATGTGGGTCAGTGGGTTACCAGCAGCAACAGCTTGCTTGACCAAGCAAGCACCAGACGAACCTGGCCCATGACCGGGCTCTGGGAGTAGAAAAACTCTCAGAACTCATCAGTAGTGAAGGTGAAGGTACAGCATTTTTGTTCTTATGGTGCTGTGATATTAAAATACGCAGTCACTTAACTGGTATCGACAAATTTTGTATCTACACATAATGGTAATTTGATAAGAAGCTGTGATTTTTTGTAGACCAGTATAGTATATATGAAGGCGAAATTTGTGTATTAATTTGATTGCTTTTATTTCTGTTATTGCAATAGCAAAATTATTGATGCCACTATTGAGTTAGTTTTTTTTGCAATTATCTAATTTTATTTTACAGATGCTGTAAAGCTTTTATAATTTACAGTTTTTGTTTGTTTATTGCAACTATCTGGTAGTGAAAAGTTATCTCAGAGCATTATTTTTGGATGACTTTTTATGTTTTTTTCCTTGCAGATCTAGTCATGGGGGCAGACCAGTTCCTATTAACCTGGAACAACCACCGCTCTAATTTTGCTGAAGTTTTTACGCAGCTTCGTGTCCAGGTAAGCCATCTTCTTGATAAAATAGGACTTATTACTAGCTCTTTCCTCCTGCTCTTTCCTCTTCTCTTTCACCCCTTATCTTTTTGTGATCTGTTGCACAATAATAGAGTTCTTGCCTCTTAGCTGAAGGGACTTGGGTTGTATCTCCAAGCAGGACGAGACATGTGCAAATCTCTCTAACACCTGCTGCTCCTGGCTGTTCTTGTGGGTGGCATCCTAGGGAATGCTGTTATACCTTAGATAAGACAGGGTTTTGAAATAAGCAAAGGCACAGCAACAAATCTTAGCCTGTAGATAATATTGTATGAAAAGGAGAGTGGACATTTGTAGAAGCACCAAAGCATCAAAAATACTGTACATGTATTGATATTCATTTTTAACTTTCAGGACCAGCTTGTGGATGTTACTCTACTATGTGATGGTGGTAGCTACCCAGCTCACCGGCTTGTTCTGGCTGCATGCTCCCCTTATTTCCATCAATTATTTACCCGATTACCCACCCAACACCCGCTCATATACCTCAGGGATGTCAAGCAGGCTGAGCTCGAGGCTCTCCTGGAGTTCATCTATCGTGGGGAGGTATGAGAATTGTTTTGTATTTAACAATTCACAATTAATAAGAAAACTCCATGGGGAAGTGGAAAAGGATCCTTCCTCAGTAAGCCATGCATGTTGTAAGGGGCATTTAAAATGCTGGGAGCAAGAGGCCACTATCCCCTTCTCCTGTATTAATTACTAAATGTAAAATGAAGAAAAGTTTTTTCTTTTTTTTTTCGGGCCACCCTGCCTTGGTGGGAGATGACTGGTGTGTTAAAAATAATTAGTAAGAGAAACAAATCACTTTCAACTACATGTGAACATCTTGAATAAAAATTGTTGCTTGTTTCTTGAAAGTGGAAATCAAAGTGTACAATTAATGCAGTTATTAACCCTTTGACTGTCACAACTCCAAATCCTGAGGTGCTTCCTGGCGTCGAAAAATTTTTGAAAAAAGATTATTTTTTCTCATGAAATGATAGAGAATCTTTTCCCGATGGGAATGACACCAAAAGAACGAAATTTGATTGAAAACTTACGGAATTATGCTCTCGTGAAGTTAGCGACCTTGGCGATATTTACGAATTGGCGATTTCGCCCGCTTTGAGCCCTATTTTCAGCTAATTCCATTGTTCCAGCTGACGAAACTCATAGCTATTTCTTTAGAACTCCATTTGTTCTATTGATTGAGCACAAGAAACTGCTCATTTACCGGTTTCAACTACCCAATAACGTGTTCAGAAATTTGCAATTTGGCCAATGTCACGCAAATTAAAAAATATGCCAAATTCAAAATAGGGTCCAGAATGAACAATGCAGACATCCTGGCTTTAAAATAACATTTTCTTTGCTCATCAGTCATGTCTCCAGGCCCCTCTGATATTACTCTTGCTTTCTATTTTGAATTTTTATTCAAACAAAAAAATAGAAGATTTACTGTTATGCAGACTACTGCAATATTGTAATAATTGTAAAAATAATGTCAACCCATTCATGACTGCATATTAGAATGGCTAGTTAGACATTTATTGGACAATGACATCATTTGTTTACTTTTGAACATCGGCAAAAATCAAATATTTCCCCTACTTTGAGCTCCATTTCAAGGTTCTTTTCATAGTAAAACCAATCAAAATCACCACTATTTCTGTAATATGTTTTCCATTCTATCAAATGAGACCAAGAAAATGAAAATACAACCATAAATACTGTACGAAAATACACCACATAGTCGGTGTTTTAATCCAAAAACACGATCAGAGATTTTTTTCTCATTATGCACTGCGTCTTGCAGGATTTTTTTATATGGTGCACATTAACCACACAGACCCATTCTTTCACATGTGGGCCTACCAGTTTTCTCCTGCTTGATTTGAAGCCGCTAGAATTTTTGAGTATACGTATATACGTCAAACACAGTGGCTCATAAGATGTATATGTACAACTGAAACAGTCAAAGGGTTAAGATTTACTTAAAACTTGAAATGTGTACAGTATCTAGTCAGAGTAAGGTTAACAAAAAAAAAAGTCCTGTAATTCACACTTCATAATAATTCATAATTGCACTTGAATTAGTTTATAAATTCTTACGTGAAAGCAAGAATAACAGTGACCTAAGATTTCATCTGTTTCAAGGCATCTTCATGTATGTCTTCAACTACCAGTGAAAGTTTAGGTAACCAATTTGTTTCTTATTGGTATCTAAAGTTGTATTAAACCTCCAGCTTTAATACAGTTAATTGTGTATATTGGACTTTTTTTTATCAGGTAAGTGTTGCAAACAGTGAACTAACTGGTCTCATCAAGATTGCTGAGAGTCTGCGCATCAAAGGTCTTGGAGATGTCTCACAAAGGGATCAACAAGCCAGCACAGGAGAGAAGAGAGCATCTCCCCCCATCTCACCAGTTTCCCCTACACCTCATAGCCACAATCCTCGGCCAAAGAAAGTCCCCCGTCTATCCACCAATAATGGAGAGTCTAAGGGCTTAGATGCCAACTTTGCATCACTGTTGTCTCCTGCTAACAGCTATGGCCATGCCATAAACAAATCAAGTAACAAGACAAATGAGGGGTTTGCACAGTTAATGGATTCTGGGTGTGTAGACCTCCCTGACCATGACCTTGAAGAAGACCACACTCCCAACCCCACATGGGACCTCTCACTCTCAGAATCCAAACTTCGCTCCTGCCTTGAGGGCCTGGAATCAGTCACCGCTGCTCAAACACTTGCTCAGTCCGTTGCTCATACTGTCGCTCAGTCCATTGCAATTCCCCGAACTCTCTTCCCTTCCCCCACTAAAGTATCTTCAAGTAAAAGGGATGCTGGAGAAACTGTCAAAGACCTTGGCCGTGGGGCATCTCGAAGAAAGAATCACGAACCCCAAGAAAGTCGAAGAGGTAAAGGATTGTCATCAAACATTCTGCTTTCTAACAGCCAAGAGATTGTGAAAGATGGAAAGGTAAGGGTTCCCATCTTCATATCTTTGGACGTGATTTTGATCATTGATTTTTTGTTAATATTTGCCATAAGTCTCATATAAGGGAATTAAAAATGTAATGCAAGTCTTATTTGCATGGGACTATTTTAAAAGATAGAATATATAGAATTACTATGGCATAAATTTATTAGAAGGAATATAAGAAATAATAACAGGTATTTCTGTAACCAATTGACATTGTTCATTTTTTTGAATAAGTTGATGGAGAATTTTGTCCCATATTTCTTCACTCTATTAAACTGAGGTCTGTTACATCGAGGGTTTACTTCTAAGCCTAAGAAAAATGTTACGTAAAGTTCTGAAAGTAATTTTTAAAATTAAAGCAAATTGAAAGTTTCAGAAAGGTACTGTACTGATAAGAAGATTGAAAAAGGTGAACCTTTATTGTTAGAGGTATGTACTGTGTACATACTTCTAACAATGTTTTATTCACATTTAGTGAACTTTACAAAGACATGCTCATATATAGTATAGCAGGGAGGAGGGTCATACATCAGGTGTAAGTGCAGATGTGGCTGATGTGTTGTGTACCTCTAATAATGAAGGTTCTTTTGGTTTCTTGAGTCCTGTCATCACTTCTTGGTGGCTGTTGCCACAATTTCACATCAGGAAGGTGTTTACAGACACTCTGTATAATAAAGAATAGCATTTGAGATTCATAATAGTACATGGTGGGCTGTGTATGGCCACCAAGAGTTGACAGAGACTCTGAATAAGGGTTAGTATATTTTCCCAACCAGGAGGATATGCAGCTACCATGAAATTATTGTTTTAAATGTTAATGTAAGCCTTAATAATAGTACTCATCCTCTTACACTGAGATGATGTAGGTACTTTTGTGTTTCAACTCACAGATCCCAAAAGAAAATATAAAATGTGAAGTGGATGTAGACAGCAACATTGTTGCCACAGCAGAGACAGAAAAATGTATGGACCCTTCTCTCCTACCCCTATATGACACCACCGGTGAAATGGGAGGGGCTGTAAGTGACCTTACCAACCCTCTGCTGGCCAGCTACCGCCACATATTGAGTCTTGGGGCTGAGGAGCGCTCCTTCTCCCCACTCATCCCAACCACTGTGCAGGAACAGCAGGTCCCCTCCCCCACTAACAAGGAGTCCCGGGTAAGTGATTTTCTTTGGATTCACAACCAACTTAATGATGTAATTCACATGATTTTGCAAAAAATCTAAATACAGTATAATAATGTACGTACTTACAGCAGTTCATAGTTTTCATAAAGGTAATATAGTACTGTATATTACTGGCCATAAGTTGACATTTTTATGTACAATACAGCCTATCCTCACTTAATGATGGAGTTCCATTCCTAAGACCACATCAGTATATGAATTCATTGCTAGGCAAGAAGCATACTGTAATGGTAGTGGGTTTGTGTCGTCCATCTTTGATATCGTTTTAATGTCACCTTTGCACCATTGATAACATTTTTAGTATATTTTTAAATGTTTATACAATAGTGTACTGTATATTGTAATGAACAGAATAGAGGAAATCAGCTCTAATATACATTATTTAGGTATGCACATTGGTCAGAGAGCCCATTGTAAGGCCAAGTCGTCGGTAAACAAGTGCATCGCTAAGTGAAGAGAGGCTGTACTCCCAAGTTATACCTCTTATCTTGGGGATGTGATATACTGTACCTTTTTTATGCAAACTTGAAAAAAATATAAGGAATGTTACCTATGTTACATACAGTACAGGTGTCGATCACTATGCAGTGACTGTGTGCCAGTTCCATGGAAACTAGATGAAGCTCAGTAAGGCTATCAACAGTTAATTATGCATAATAAGAATCTTACTTTGTTTTGCAAACTGTTGCAATTGCATATTATGACTGTATATCGCAGAAGTAGAATCATCTGTAAAAATGGGACATAGCATAATAGCGAATTCACACGAAGTGAACTTACATAAAGAGAAGAAAGCTTGTAGTTCACAAATTTCATCATCAAATGTTGAAGACAAGGTATTTTATTCCTACACCTACATGTGCTTTAATTAAAATGCCTGTGATCATTAATGTGAGGCAACTTATGCATGATATTGTTCATAATATAACATAATTTTCAGAGTCTGACCTGTCAGTTGTGTGGTGCCACCATCAAGCATATAGCAAATTTCCGGCGCCACATGAAGCAGCACCTTAACCCAAGACGCTTTCCATGCCCGTGGTGCTCTGCTGCTTTTGGCCGCAAAGATAATCTAAAAACCCACACAAGGTAGTTATGAACAACTGTTCTTTAATATCCAGCTGATTATTATTATTATAATCAAGGGGAAAGCACTGAACCTTTAAGATTATACAGTGCCTGTGGGGGGGATGTGGAAGGTATTCAGGCTTAATTCAGGGAACTGGAGCACAGATCCAATTCCCTAGACCAAGAGCCCCTCACCAGCATCAAGGAACCTTCCTTGAGGGGAATATCCAGCTGAGCGCAGTATATTTGCAGGATGAATAATATTTTTCACTAACTGTACCTGTTTCCTTTACAACACTGCTAATAGGCAATGTTTAGCCATAGCCTCACCGTTTGATTTGAAAAGCAGTGAATAGCTGTAAGGATATGCATAATTTTTATTTCAACTAAATATTTAAAAATGTTACTTTATTATACTCATGTGTACATGTAAAGATACTTTGGAATGATGAATGAGACACATGTTTATCACCTGGATATTTTTATTAGAAAGATGCTTTGTCATCCAGTGGCCTTTTCAATTCAGTACAGAGATTACATACTGGAGACAGTATGTTGTGCATGTTAGCAGGTGTTCCATATGTCTAATTCACTAACTTGTTGGTATTGTATGTCGTTAGTGTCATGTTTTAAAATATTCTATGTATGACTTCCCCTAAAGTCCTAGAATGTGTCAGAACTTGTTAAGCAGTATTACTGGTCAGGGAAACTCACCTTACACAAGTCTTTGTCATATGATGAGCCTTCAGTTGTGCCGTAGGCCCTGTGGCAGGGATATGATAAGAAGCCAACACTGATATATTGTGCTATATATAGGTGGCCTTCTACTTGGATTCAAATGAGGTAGCTGTTGGTCGTATGTCAGGCCACTGCAGAGCAACCACTGGCTTACATTCGGTCAGATGTGATTATCTTAGACGCAGAAATTGATAGGTCGTGAACATTTCCTTCATATATTATATTCTTTGGCAGCATCCTATATTTCATTAAGTTATATATAGCACTATAATTGATCTTCATCAGTTGAAGCTACATGCACAGTTTTATGCCACATATTTTATTAATACGTAATTTCTATCTAAACTGTTTAAACTGTCGTATCTGGGTGCCTCTGCAAAGACAAGTGATTATGTATGAGTGATGGTGAAAGTGTTGAATGATAATGAAAGTTTTTTTCTTTGTTTTGGGGTTTTTCTTTCTTTTGGGTCACCTTGCCTTGGTGGGAAATGGCCAACATGTTAAAAAAAAAATTATAATGGTAAATAATTTACCTTATGCTCATACACATATTTGAACACTTGCTTCTTGCCACTTGATCATGAAATGTAATCCTTGTTTTCTATTTCCTTATAAAATGCTTAGGATTTATGCCTGATGCCAGCTACAGTATATGATTTGTAGGCTGGGCATTGGTAATAAAAGAACTATTAAGACTCAGCTGTTATTTAATAGGTTTCTGAATGTTGATTCAAACTGATTTTTCAAAATTTCACTCTTTTGTTTTTTGTCATTTGTGTATGAGCTGCCTATGAGTAATGAATGGCTTTTAACTTTGGCATTGTATATGTGTAGAAATATTTAGGATTTTTTCAATTTTCTGAACAGCTTTTTGTTACTTTTGGGCTGCCTTTGTCTGGTATGAATGTTTTCGTTTCTATATCATTAATCTCTTGGTGTAGATTATCTTATCTTTATTGTGACATATTCTCTCTTTAAAGTAATTCAGTAACCCATTTTCTTTGTACATTCTTGAATGTTTTCTTTCAGTATTTGAAATGCATATAATCTTTCTCAGTGAAACATATTTACACAGGCTTTGTATGTTTCCATATTCAATTTTCTATGCTCTGGTGCGGGTTAAGGGGTGCTGAATACTGTTTCTCAGGGAAGGTTTAAGAGTTATTTATTTTGTCTGAGTCAGTTTTTTGATAGCTTATGTACTTTAGTGAGGTTACAGTTAAAGTACGTATACAATGGTACCTTGGTATACGTCCGCTTTGGAATAGGTCCAACTTGGATGCGAAAATTTTTGCTTGGTATTCAACCTTTGTTTGGAATACGATTCACGTGCTAGAACTTGTATGGGTCAAAATGATAAAGATGCCACCAATGATTTTGTTACAGAGTTTGGGGAATTTGTGGAGGCTGGGGGTTTTGTTCCCCAACAAGTTTGTAATTGTGACAAAACAGGCCTGTTTTGGAAGAAAATGCCTAATAGGACCTATGTTACACAAGAGGAGAAGGCATTACCAGGACACAAGCCAATGAAGGATAGGTTAACACTCGTGTTCTGTGCCAATGCAAGTGAGGATTGCAAACTGAAGCCTCTACTGATCTACCACTGAAAACCTGAGGCAGAAAACTCAGTTACCTGTGATGTGGAGGTCAAACAGCAAGGCTTGGGTAACCAGAGAATATTTCAACAAATGGCTTAATGTTGTGTTTGGGCCAAGTGTAAAAAGTTATTTAGAGAAGAAAAACCTGCCTCTGAAGGGCCTCCTCATAATGGACAGTGCTCCAGTTCACCCTCCAAGCTTGCAGAACTATGTGCTGCCAGTGTTTGACTTCATCACTGTAAAATTTCTCTCCCCTAACACGACTCCTTTCATTCAGCCCATGGATCAGTAGGTCATCAGTAATTTCAAGAAACTCTACACTAAAACACTTCCAGAGGTGCTTTGAAGTAACCTCTGACACAGAGTTAACCCTGAGAGAGTTTTGAAAAGATCACTTTACTATTGCTCATTGCATAACTCTCATTGACAAAGCCTGGCAGGAAGTTTCATACAGAACAATGAACTCTGCTTGGAGGAATTTGTGGCCAGAAGCAGTGGCTGAAAGGGACTTTGAGGCTGTGTCTGTAGTGGAGGATATTGTCTCTCTGGGCAGGTCCATGGGTCTGGATGTGAGTGATGGTGATGTGGAGGAGTTAGTGGAGGGGCACAGGGAAGAACTGACCCCCGAGGAGCTGCAGGAACTTTAGAAGGAGGAACACAAGACTAAGATGGATGCACACACTTCAGTCTCAGAAGAGGAGATGGAGGAAATCTTTGCCAGATGGATGCACATCAAAAATTTTGCAGAGAAGAACCGCCCTAACAAAGCCCAAACAAGCCGTAATAGCATTGTCTGGAATGACCAGACAATGTCACATTTCTGAAACATCCTGAGGAGAAAGCATAAACAAAGTTCTTTGGACAGATTTTTAGTAAAAGTCAAACTTGGTGAGCTTCAACCAGGTCCAAAAGGAAAAAGAGACAGAAAAGAGAAGGGGACTCTCCTTCCAAACAATAACATTTTCTCCTCCTCCCTTCTCAGCACTATCCTAATAGGCACTCAACTCTTTTCAGAAAGTAAAGTGAGGTTAAATTTGCATTTATTTCATCTAATTCTTTTGTATTTATGTATGTATTTTAGTATTAAGCAGTGTTTAAATTACATATTTTAGTATTAAGCAGTGTTTAAATTATATATTTTAGTATTAAGCAGTGTTTAAATTACATATTTTGTATTAAGCAGTATTTAAATTACATATTTTAGTATTAAGCAGTGTTTAAATTATTTTATACCACCCTATCAATGTATAATTTGCCAATAACAGTAGGATTTTTTTTTTCATGAGAATGGATTAAGCGTTTTCCCTATATTTCTTATGGGAAAATTCGTTTTGTATACGTCCTGTTTGGTATAAGTCCAGGGTCCTGGAACGGATTAAAGACGTATACCGAGGTACCGCTGTATATTATACAATGGAACCTCAAATTTTGAACGTATCACTTATCGAACGTTTCAAAAATAGAACCCTTTTTTCGAACCAACTTTGTCCCTATTATCGAACGTGCCCCCATTTTCGGACCGCTGGGTACGGGACCTGTCCGCCAGCCCGCTCTGTCCGTGTCCCCACTCAGGCACCGTGAGCCAGTCTGGCTTTGTTGATGCTTGAGTGTACACTAACCTGCACTCTCATTCAAACATTTTATGATTATTTCATTGTGTTTAGTGCTTGTGGGACTGTGAAATAAGCTACCATGGGCCCAAAGAAATTTGCTAGTGGTACCCCTGTGGTAAAAGTGAGAAACACCATAAATGTGAAGAAGGAAATAATACAGAAGTATGAGAGTGGTGCGAGACTTGCTGAGCTTGCCAGGATGTATGGGAAAAACAAGTCGACCATCGGTTCTATCCTGGCAAAGAAAGAACAAATCAAGGAAGCTGATGTTGCAAAAGGTGTTAATATGCTAACCAAAAAAGACCACAATTAGTTGAAGAGCTTAAGAAGGTGTTCCTGGTGTGGATCAGGGATAAAGAGATGGCAGGTGATATGTTTCAGAGACAATTACATTTGCGAAAAGGCAAGGAAGCTGCATGCCGATCTGGTACAGAAAACTCCTGGAACCAGTTCAGTGACAGAACTATGTCCCATTTTAGGGAAATGTTAAAGAGGTGCCAGAAACAGAGGACTGTGGACAGTTATTTTGTGAGACAGGGGTCCAGTGACTCTCAAGCTGGTCCTAGTGGCATTAAAAGACAGAAAAGGGAAGTAACCTCAGAGAGGGCTTTACATGAAGTCCTCATGGAGGGGGATTTTCCTTCCAAACACTAACCCCAACTCCCTCTCTCCTCCCTATCTTCCAGATGCCATCACCAATCTTCAATAAAGGTAAGTAAAAATGTTGTTTTATATTTATGTACATAATTGAACACTATAGTATTTGTTGTATGTAAAACTGTAATTAATCTCTATAAAATGTATTTTTTTGTGTATATTTTTGGGTTTCTGGAACAGATTAATTGTATTTCCATTATTTCTTATGGGAAATATTGCTTCGATTTTCAGACTTTTCGAATTTAGAACTAGCTCCTGGAACGGATTAAGTTCGATATTTGAGGTTTCACTGTACATGTATTTGAAATTATTATGTCTCCAATTATTTTCTCATTATTCGTGTCTGGTGTTTTTATCATTTTTAGTAGGTTCTGTTAACTGTTTATTCAAAGCAAACTTTCACAGAGATAATTAGTTCTGAGACAGGGTATTTCATTTGAATAGTGCCTACTACTAGTTAATTTTAATTACGGCAACATTTTCTGCCATCTTACAAACATTGAAGACCAAAATATTTATGAGGTGAAGAATAAAATTCACAGCTAGCCAATAAATTTAAAATTTTTATTAGAAAATGTTTTGCTCCAGTCTTGACTGTCTGCCCGCCTCCCTCTATCTTGACTTGACCTCTAGTTTCTTTTTCTTTTTCTTCCTTGCTGACAATTTAATAAGAGTCAGGACATTCTGAAAACTGTTAGTTTCCATTTTAGATTTTTTTTTTTTTTTTTTTTTTTTTGAAGCAAATAGATAAAAATTTAGTGTGTTTCTCCAGGAAACATCACCCTATAGAAGTTGAAAGTCAAGAAGCTGGAATGTTGCCATCTGGTGGAGGAAGAACTGATAATGGGGAGAGCTTAGAAGATGGAAAAGGACTGCCTGGTCTGAACGGCTTGGAAAACGAAGGTGGTGACGGCAGGGATGGGTGTGCAGATGAAGGTGACCGAGAAGGAGACAGGGATGATTCCTCTGATCATAATGAAGGTTTGGTCATCGCTGAGGACACAGAGGAAGAAGAGGAAGAAGATGAGGACTCACGTTCACAAGCTGATGATGGTCAGTAAAGGTTTAGCTGTTGCACTTCATAAGAGTATTTGTAATATCACTATTGAACAGGTGCACTGCTTGCCACTATGTATCTGTATTGGGGATTGCAGATTGGGGGTTAATTTATTAACATCATTCAACATTTTTTTGTTGATAATTTATCAAATGTTGGAAATTAGAGTGCTTTGAATTCTTGCACTGAAGAAGTGGTCCACTACCACAAAGGTTAAATATATTTTGAATGTACAGTAATGCATTTTTATGAAATAAATTTTACAGTGCCTGAAAGTAATAGAGGCAAACCTAAAGTTTGTTTCAGACAAAGATTTTTGTATCTACATATTGACAATATTTGAAATGCCTTAATGTTCAATAATAGAATAATTGATGTTAAGAAATTTTGTATACAACCAAATTTTTAAGAAGCCTTGCCTCTTTGCTCATATCAGTACAGACTATAGATAGATTTTGAGTGTGTTATTACTATACAATGTACTTTTCATATGTGAATGCATTGATTGTAGATTTGGTACCTAGTCAGAAGAAACATGATTACCAAATTCATGTGTGTGAGTGCAGTGTGTGTGTGTATTTGTGTGTTTATATGTGTACAAATGTTACAATGAAGCTGCAATAATAGTCTAGTCTGAATATTGCCACACAAACCACTTACCACATGTTAACTCCAACATATAGGACTTGTTCACCTGTGTTAACAAGCCAATGCTCAGTGTTGCTGGTAACAACAACCTTAACAGTTGGACCTTAAGGCCCTGCAACAATTTTATACATTCTAATATTAACATTTATTATATAAGTCATTAAGTTTTTAAATAGAATTGAATTACAGTATAGCTAAATTGTTCATGGTAAACTATATACTGTAACATTAATTTGGCAGCAGTAAATTTGCAACGTATCAGAGCTTCTCAGAGCTTGGTGCCTTCTGGTGTTCTGTGTGTCTGCACTTTGATTGTTTACAACCATTCACATCGTAATGTCTAACACATGTGACATATGGCAGCTGTTGTGGTCAGTACATTAGTATACACTTCCCTGATTTAATATTTAAAATTGTGGAATTTGATATCAGTGCTTTTAGGTCTAGAACATAACCACCTTAATCAGAAAATAGGTAGCATCATTTGTTGTCAGCAACTTTTCTTGTGTTTAATAATCATTTAGGCATATAATATATGCCCCATGAATTTAGCTGCCAGATGAAATAAACAGTAGGTTGACTTTGTATACATAGATTACTCTGGCGTTGTATTCCTATATGACTTTGTGTCTTGTGTTCCATTATAATCTCTGGCAGCCTGGCCCTGAATTACTAGTTAATCTTTGGAATCTTGGTCGTGGCAATTCACAGTGAAGTTACCATTGGCCTTCCAGTAATTTAGCATTCTTTTAAGTTCTCTGTGGGGAACATGAACAGATAGTAAACATGAATTGAAAAAATCAGTGAAGAAATTAATTTGTGAAATACCTTTTCAGGCTGTAAGTGTAATTCATGCTGTCAGGCTTTCAACCTCTTTTAGTTTCTGTCTGGTTTCTTGTGCCATAAAAGATACATTGTCTAAGGAATTATGCCAAAGTTCTGAAATTGATCATGGGAACAGTTGGGATCCATCTGCAACTGATATGTTTAATTCCTTTGACAGTCTATTTGAATAAGCTAGGCTTTCTATAAATAATTTGCAGCCATCCACTCAGACTTGAAGATATTTCAGAGCTGTTATATCATTGTGCACAGAGAGTAAGAAGAGTTCAAATTTGATGTAAAAGTATCAATATTAATTTTTCTATCAGTTTACATCACATAATTGTTTGGAAATGTATCCTTTTTTATTATCTACACTTATTTATAGTGAAAGTGTAGGCTAAATGTAAAGTTTTAAGCAAGGTATCTTGTATATGTTGCTAACCATTAAGAGTGGAATGATGGGAACACTGTCGAAAAAGGGACAAAACAAATGCACAGACCAAGAGTAGCCTTTACTGATCTCCTTGTTTTCTTAAGTGTTTTGTTTTGTTTATCCCGAGTTCATCAGTGTTCCTGTTTAATATAACTCATTTATATCTTTACTTATGCCCCTTTGTCCACTCTATGCAGTTACTAATTGACATTCACATCTTTTTAAAGTGCTGGTTGGTTAACATCTATTTTCGGTAATTTTTCGTTCATTTTCAAATTTTCGTTATTGTTATTATTTTAGAAAATTAATTAGTGACATGTGCTTGCAGTGCTAAATCCAAGCTAGCTGAGTAAGGTAGTTATGAGGGTATGTGCTCATGCTTGAAGAAATTAGTAAGTGGCAGGACCAGTTAGCTTTCTTTATTAAAGCTACAGTTTGTAGTACAGTACTTTTAAAAGTGAGTAGTATAGTACAGTACTTTTAACCATTTCAGGGTTGGTGCCATACTAGTAATAATTGCACGCCAGGGTTGGTGCCGTACTAGTACGCATAAACTCTAGCGCCTTCAAATCTAGCGAGAGAAAGCTGGTAGGCCTACATATGAAAGAATGGGTCTATGTGGTCAGTGTGCACAGTATAAAAAAAATCCTGCAGCACACAGTGCATAATAAGAAAAAAAACTCCGACCGTGTTTTTGGTTTAAAACAGCAACTTTGCAGTGTATTTTCGTATCCTATTTATGGTTGTATTCTAGTTTTCCTGGTCTCATTTTATAGAATGGAAGACATATTATGGAAATTGAAATGATTTTGATTGGTTTCACAATGAAAAGTACCTTGAAATTGAGCTCAAAATAGCAGAAATGTTCAATTTTTGCCAAAGTTCAAAGGTAAACAAATCATGCCACGTGTCCAATACACGTCATCTGGTGAGTCTAATATTCTTTCACAAGTGCGCTGATATTATTTATACCATTTCTACACCATGTCTACATGAATGCAGTAGTCTGCATAACATAAATCTTCAATTTTTTGTGAGAATAAAAAGTCAAAGTGGAAAGCAAAAGAAATGTAACAGAGGCCTGGGAACATGAGTAGTGAACAGAGAAAATGTTACTTTAGTGCCAGGAATGTCTGTCTTGTTTATTCTGGACCCTATTTGGAAATTGGCATTTTTTTTAAATTTGTGTGAAATTGGCAAAATTGCCAATTTCTGACCACGTTATTGGTTAGTTGAAATTGGTAAATGGGTGGTTTCTTGTACTCATTCGATAGATAAAATGGAGTTCTAGCGAAATAGGTATAATTTTTGTCGACTGGTACATTGGAATTGGCTGATAATAGGGCTCAAAGTGGGTGAAATCGCCGATGCATAAACGTTGTCGAGACCGCTGACTTTGCGAGAGGATAATTCTGTAAGTTTTCATTCAAATTTCATACTTTTGATGTCATTATGATCAGGAAAAGTCTCTCTATCATTTCATAAGAAAACATAAATTTTTTTTTTTTTTTTTTTTTTTTTTTCTGAAAAATTTCCGACCCTGAGAACAAGTTTAGGAGAGGGTCTGCTGACTCTCAAAAGGGTTAAAAGTGAGTAGTATAGTACAATACTTTTAAAAGTGAGTAGTATAGTAGAGTACTTTTAAAAATGAATAGTATAGTACAATACGTACTTTTAAGTGAGAAGTGAGGAAAAGAGAGAGATACAGAGCAAGCTTTTATTGTGACAATATTTTGCTCTGTGTAGAACTTTATCAAGTCTTGATAAAAGTACATAGTGAAAATATTGTTATAATAAAAGCTTACATTGCACTTGTATCTTTTTATTACTCTCAGCAGGACACCTCATTGTCTGGGTAGAAGAATATTGGGAAAGTAGGAAGTAAGAAAAGAGAGGTGTAAAAGAAAAGTCATTAGAAATCCTTCAAGTGAAGGGGGCCTGACTTAGGGATCATATGGAACCCACCATGGATATAATAACAGTGAACCATCAGGTTAAAATGACATGTCATGGGTTGGAAGACAAATTTTTTGTTCCTTGCTGCAGTGTTTTTGTGGCTTTTAGAACCAAATGATATGTTTACTACTTGCACAGTCTTGACAGTCATAGAGTTTTTAATTGATAAAGGGTGGCAAGGGGGCACAATTATTTTTGAGGCAGGGCACTAAGGAGAGGGAGAGAGAGTAATTGTTTAAAGCAAAAAAATTAAAATTTTTTAAAATTTGTGACTACCTCATAAATTTGACAGGAGTCGCATGTAGAAATAATTACAAAATGTTAAGACTCAATTGTGATAGCTGCAATATAGAGGCAAAATTTAACGTGGAAAAAGTGGTGTGCCTACTCCCTCCCTCTTCGGTGCAGTGCCCCAGATACAATTATATTGGTCCAATTTCATCATTACTCTCAGCATTGACGAGCTTGTATGTAAAGTAATAGATTTTGGTGATGCATTGATATTTAATATGGTGTGTTGTAGAGAAAGCTGATAGGGATGAAAGTAGAGAGAGCTGCCATATTCAGTGAGGAAATTTGCAAAGACAAAGTGACAACATCTTGAGGAATTACCTGAGGTGTTTACCCTGGCTGTTTTCAGAAGGACATGTGTTAAGTTTACTATTTTGATTGATTAGTTAAGACAAGTGGTAGTTGTAAAATGATGCATGTGGTGGGCTGCTATGATTGAGTTGGCTGTGGCAGATCAAATGGCTGTTAAAACAGACATTAAGAAATTTGCTGCAATTAAGGTTATTAGGGTAATGCAAAGACATGTCTAACAGACCAAGCCTTTACCACACAGTCTTGCTCTAAGGTGATCTTTTTCAAGTTATGACTCAAGTAAAGCTCATTTTTGAGCATAACGTTGCATAGGAGAGGCCTGCCTGTTCTGCTAGAAGTGTCTGTGTTACTCTGTTTATCATCATTTTGACTTTCGACCACACCAAGGAAGGTTACTGTTTACTTTTGTGGAATAGTTCATCAACACAGTGAGCTGCAAGGTTATTTGTATTACACTATAGTGTACCAAATTTCAAGGTTCTCTATGATATCTGTCAAATTGTAGAGTTATATGTCCATGCCTTAAGTAATTAGACAATAAATCCTTGAAGGTTTTCTGCCACGTTAATTGTGAGGCAGTAAATTTATGTACTTAATAATATTAACTTAGGTAATGTGTAGTCATTGGATGATATGTTGACAACTTTTTAATAACATTTGTACCAAGCTGGTTTGTGCCCTTTAAGGTGTTAATGTTGAGCCAAACCAGCACTCACTGTTTCACTGTTAGTGCCTAATGACTTTCAGTAGGTTGATGATGCTAGTGCACTCACATCCCCTTAACTGTAGTGATTCTTGGCAACTAAAAACATACTAGCCCACAAGAATTTGCAGGTAGCTCTGGAAGAGCCCCATCTTCTCAATACTTTTGTGCCTTTTTCTCTAACTTTTAAATCTCATTTTTGTGCTTGAAGTTTATGAGTATTAAAAATCCTGTTTTCTGCTTCACTCGCTGGAAAAATTGATCATTGATATATTCACTGACATATGTGAGAAGGAGCTTTTCAGAAAGAAACGTATTAGACTGAACAAAAAGTTAAGCAGTGTTTGAAAGAGTGTAGATTATAAAAGTGTTGATCAGTATTAAATATGAGATCTTTTACCAAGATCTTTTGCCTTAAACTAGTAATTAAATCACTTTAACTCCATGGGATAAATAAACTTTCTTTTTTAGTAAGTCACTTGAAGGAAGCATATGCAAAGCGTCTGTCTTTCTCAAAATAGTCAAAATATAAATTTATATGGATGGAGAGGCAGTGGCTCTGTAAAATGGAATTTAATGAAAATTTGCCAATTTCTAGTTCAAACATGGAATGCAGGTGTATCATTTCTTATGCTAATAGAAATACGATAGTATGTGTAGAGGGTTGATGTGTTCAGAACAAAACATAGGATTGCCTGTTGTGACAAAGTAAACTTTGACTTTGATGCGAGTGATAGAGGAAGACACTGTGTTGATAGCAATACCAAGAAGCAACACCACATAGTAAGTCATCTTAAAGGACTTTATTTGATAAAGCCTGGTAGGAAAAATATTATATTAAATATATTCTGCTCTCTATGTGGCATTTACATTTCATCACTCTTAATAAATATGACAAATTATCAGAGCAATCATTGTGGTATTGATGGGTAGCATGATATTTTTAAGGGCTGAGTGCATTCACACCATCAACATTAGCACATTCAACATTCACTCACATGTTTGTTATGTTAGAATTTAACTTCATATTTGATGTAATGAGTGAAAAATTCTGTCATGAGTAACTATGCAGGAATCAAATTTGCTACTAATACTGGAGAATGACATTTGTTAATCATTTGCTAGTCAAGATATAAGTTTTGTTACTAATAGCAGAGACTTGTGTTTGATCATGGAAAACTAGTCAAGATGTAAGTCTATTACTAATATCAGATAGTAATTTTTATATTAGCAAGGAAATTTCTTACTAACACTAGAGAATTATATTTATTTGTTCCATGTTCTTAGGGAGAGTTCAGTACTAATGCCAGAGAACTGTACTTGTTCCTAGGAAGATACAAGCAAGACCGCACTCACGGAAGGAAGTGCATTAACATCACTTGTTGCTTGTGCATCACATGTACTCAACTAAGTGATTATGTCTCAAGCAATTTTTCATGCCATTTAAAAAATGTATGTGCAGGGAACTTTGTGATGAGTGACTAGTCATGAAATATGTTTGTTACTAATTCCAGAGAATGACATTTATTCCTAGAGAGATGTAGCTGTGTGATTTAACTAACAACAGGTTTGTAATCTAGTCTTGCGTAAGAAGTACTAACACAACTAACCCTCGGTCATGTCTCTAATATTGGACAACTTGTGGCCCCACTCCTAACAACTTCAAAAAAAGGTAGTTGACACTTTAGCTATCTGTCTATACTGTATTGTGATGCCTTGTTTCCTCTGGAATCATCCCTTAATCTTAGACTCGCTTTTTATATAAATGGCATACAGTATATGTATGCCATTTATATATCTATATAGATATATATATATACAGTAGCCAAAATTTGAGAATTTATGTATAATTTATCGGTATTTATGGATTTTAAGTAAGTTTATTTACTCTCAAGGGGGCTATAATAATGCATTCAGATAATCATCATCGATGAATGTAATTTTTTTTTTAAATTTTGGAATGTGTGGTCCTCATCTCTGTAGTAATGTGGATAGCTCAGATTTCTTTCATGATGCACGCTACAAAGGATACTAATTGGTGGCTACTAAGTGTGTGATGTAGAAGTTATTATGGGAATTACTTTGGCAAGTATCTGGTAATATAAATTTAGAAAGCTTTAAGATTCCATACGAAGTGTCTTCTTTGTGAACTGTTTGTGTACATTTCTGAATATTATTCATTAGGAAGAACATTTGCTATTTTTTTTAATAAAGCAAAACAAACAAACATGTCATTAGAAGAGCAGAGGGTCAGAGAAGACATGATCATGGCATACATAGTGAACAAGGAAAGATTAACATGAGGGGACAAGAACAAGGAAGCTGGACAACCAGATTAGCCACAAGGTTATCAAGATATACCGTGCTTCAGTGTAGGGATGTAAGAACATGGAATGAACTAAGTAAATAGATAGTGGAGGTAAATTCCATGTATGCCTACAAAATCAGGTTTGGTAAGAGCCCCCAAAAAAGTTAGGAACTGATTCTGCTAGCTCATGAAGGTTGAGATCATATTAGTGAAATACGTAGTAAGAAACTAGCATTCAGATATATAGATGAAGATTAAAAATTTTTACAGTGTACTATGGGTGAAAATTGAAATATGCAGAGGGAGGGTTTTTGTCACCACACAAAATTAACATGTTAACCACAAGAATGTACACAAAATGTAAAGATGATTACTTAGCAATAACAGTTAGGGGAACAAGAGACTGCAGACAAAAGTAGTGCCAAAACTTTGCTTGAAGAGTGATAGAAAGATTGATAGAACACCAGAATGGGATGGAAGAAGCAGTAGAGAAGGCTATAACTACTGAAAATTAAAGTGGGTTATTAATGGATTAAATGCTGAAGATGATAAACCAGAAGTATGTCTGCTTTTTTTAGCTACAAATAGTTGAACCAAAATAGGCAATTACATTCATGTAGCTCAGTAGTCAGAGCATTTGGAGCACAACCAAAAGTTCCTGATTCAGTACCAGCGCAGGCCAAGACTTTAGGCAAGTCATTTTATACATGCTGTCTGTGCTCACTTAGCATTAAATAGATATCTGGGTGGTAGCTGACTCTTAAGTGGGTTGCATCTTGCAGGAAAAGTTCAAATTCAGCAGCAAATATTATGTTAATAATAAAGAAACAGACACCATGACCATTGCTCTGCTATTGTAAGTACAAATAGATAATCACAAATCAGTAATCACAGTGATAGTTTTTTAACTGAACTTAAGGGAATGAAATTTTTCTGGTTAAGGAAAGTTCTTGTATAATTAGTTCAATTGCTTATGTACTTGTGGTGATTTAGATTCTAAACATCAGGAAAGACCAGGAATTAAAATATTAGTACCAGTGCCAAGATTTAAAAAACCCACATTTCCTGACTTATTTCTATTAAAAAATATAAATTCACCACACATTCATCAAATGACCGTATGCCAAAATGTAAGAACCCCTTTGAAAATATGCAAATAAATCATTACCAGCTACAAAAACAAAAAATGAAAACAAATACACCTACCATCTGACTTATGACCAAGCTCGGTTCCGACCAACCGGTCGTAAGTCAAAATGGACGTAAGTCGAACTTTACTACTGAATATCAAAATCACATTTTTGTAATTACTTTATTTTGTTTTATTTTGGTATTTCATGTTTTACTTTACTTTTTATGCTGTTAGTACTGTATTTTATACTGTAAGGTTTAGGATAAACACTGTGTACAACGCAAATAGTTGTTTATTTCCCAGAAATTTGGCATAAAAAACACGGCCGTAAGTTGAGTGGTTGTATGTCGAGCAGGTCGTAAGTCGGATGGTAGGTGTATTCTCTTCACTACCTTGACTCATCAACATGTGTCACATTGTAATCTTGAGTTTAGTTGAAAAATTTTTGTTCCAGGGTCTTCATACATCTAAAAAATACATGAAGACAGAAATTTGAGAAACAACAGATTCATCCATTGTCATTTGTTTGTGACCTTCATTGAGGTTATTATGTTGTAAATAAGATCTCTTACTCTCCTGAACTGCAGATAGCAGCCTTCCAGTTGATAATAACAAAGTCATATTTGTGAGGACATTGACTTTCACATACAGTTTGTATTTTAAACAGTACTCCCAGGTTTAATGTCATTATCATCCACACCTGTAGAACCCATCACCCATCTTTGTTTAGTATACCTGGAGAGAGTTACATTACACATTCACAGATCTGCTTGTTATATATTTCTAATTGTGGCTTAGCACTTCTTTTTGATTATAATAATAATATATATTTCTAAAACCTTATTCAGTTCCTAAGAGACAAGCATTTGCTAAGGATACAGTAGGCATTACCTTCTTGGGATTACAACAGTGAGACTGAAACAAAAAATTTAACTGGGAACCTTAGTGAGTTTGTTGCCCAGTGCCTTAGGAATTTAAGTACACATTTTCCCCACAGTAGCCATTTCCTATAAAGGCAGGATAACACAAAGGAAGCATTCACTATCACTCATTCTCTGTCTTTCCAGAAATACTGGATCACAATTCAAATGATCCAATGACCCATAACATCCCCTCCCATACTTCAGTGTAGCACTGTACTTCCCAGCTTCAAAACTGCTACATCCTACCCTTCCTTCAAAGTAAAGGCACTTTATTACCCATATCAATAACTTATGCATATACACACATTATAGTACGTATAATTTAGTATACAGTATGTAAGGAAAATATATACTGTATCATCGTAACTGAAGCATACTTGAAGTGTACAATTTTGAAGAGTGTCATCATATAGTGTAGCGAGGCAAGAGAAGCATCACTGTGGTATTGGTCAGTTGTATCCATGTTCATTATTAATGACTGGTGTTGGATTCCATATGTCTGTGTGTTTGTAACACCTATAAAACTATACTTCATGTCTCTTGACTGTCCACATTATTGTTATTTGGAGCTGCTGCTGCTGCAGCACTGATGGTAATTGCACTTAATATCTGTGATTTGCTGTGGGATATTTATATTAGTGTAAAAGTGGCCATATATGAGATAATGAAAGCTTGACCTTTTTGAAATAATTTTTGATCAGAATATCAGGGTGTTCACCTTGACTGATAAATAGCAAGAAATGCAGTTTGATGTAGACATAGCATTTGTAAACTTGGAAGAGACAGAAATGTGTTTCAACTCCAGGATATGCAAGCATTTTGAGGATGCAACCTGTTATCCTTTTGATCTAGATATAATAGGTGTTTGTCTTGTGTTTTCTTGATTCTTCTAATACCTGCAGCTCGTGACGTGCCTTACTTACATTAATAGGTCCTTAGCTGAGTAGGAGCTGTTGGGTTTACAAATGTGACCTGCAATTTTCAGCCTTAGATGGGATACCCATAAAGATCCTTTTCCATTGTACTGTATATTGATAGTGTAAAGGCACAAGTGGTCTTTTGGCTGTATATTATAGTTTTTGAGTCAGAGTGCGGTATTTTCCCCAAAGGCTTCCTGACTATTATGATAATCACTTTTTTTATTAAAAGATTTACTGGCATTCTTCATTACCATATTTAGTGGTCGAAACAAAATACGTAATGATTATAATAACTAGTGTGTAATGGGAGAAAAAGAGAATTGCAAATTATTATTGGGCTACTCAAATATAATTATTTTCTTAATTTTGAGCTTTCTCAAAAGACCCTTAGTGTGTACTCTTTCTTCTTTTTTTCTTGTGAAATAAAAGTATGGCATATGCTGCCTCTAAGCAAGAACAGCTAAAATACTATTTTGCATATGTAGCAGGAAGAATTTGCCATGCTTTGAAAAACGACTAATGAAAATGTTGGTGTGCATCCTGAAATTGTTATATGTAAGTCATTAAAATGGAGCAGAGATATGTGTTTCTTCTTGTTACCAGGGGAGGTTTATGGTCTTACTTTTTTTAACCTTTGTAAGTTGTAGGAGTCAAATTACATTTATCAATCATTCTTTGTTTTTCCCAGTACATAGCTACCTGATTGCCCCAGAAATGCCCTACTGCAGATTTTAGCTGTTTCATAATTACATTTATTTTCCAGTTGCATGACAGCTACATATATGGTATGTAATTTTAAGTCATTCACATGTCTTGCTCACTGAAGTCCTTGATTATTTGATTTATTTTCATAATACATCACTGAACCTGTGAATAATAAAAGCAAAAAATCTGCAGAATGTTTGTACGGTGTTGTTAAACTGACATCAAACAGATACATATCATGTCTGTTGTTTATTTTTTTATTCAATATTTCCTCTTGCTTTAGAAAAATAATAATATATACAGTATACAGTACATAAAATATATACAGGATATAAAAAAAATCTGAATGTAATCATAAAGAATGGATGGGCAAGAGTTAAGTATCAGTCAAAGTCGTAATTTGTCCTTACAACACAGTTGCCTGTGCCTGTCTTAGGATGCTGCAGGTGCAATCTAATATTCTGACTCCATATCAAACTGGACAACTGGATATTTTGCTCAGTGTTTCAATTAGTCTGACATATTGTTTACTTATTTGGGATTGTTGGGGTACATGCGTACATGTGCACACATGTACTGTACTGTAGTAGAGTTGTGATTTTAGTTCGTATTTAACTTGATTGTAGGGTACAAATGAGGTGTTGTAGACATTAAAGGTTAGCTCAGTGTGTGAACTATGGTAAATATTGCCTTAAAATTATTTATGCCTGTAAAAATAAAATGAAAGAATAAAAAAAATCTTAATTTTATAGTTTATAATTTTTTACTTCACATCAAAAATTTAAGGCTTATTTTTTTACCATAGTTAAGATGTTTAGTCTGCTATTAATTTCCCCAATACCTCAAATATTTTGGATTATCGTGTCTCGGCTTACTTATATTTTGTTAAGCGCTTGCCGGAGTCATACCAGGTGGAGTTACACAGTGGAGACACGGTATGTATAAATGATACATTTTTTCTTTAAGTGATTCCCCTTTTTTTCCAAGTTGCACCTAATCAGTTATTTAAGAAAAATTATATAATATATATACATATATATATATTTTATATATTTACACATTTATTTACTATTAATGAGATTCGATAATTCAATAAGGCATCTTGGAAAAATAACAAGATCTCTTGATTAAAATAGTACATGTATATTGAAGGATTGCCAAGCTTGATAAAAAATATTAATGCTTGTGTTGCTTAGCACCAAATTAATCAGAATGCTGATCATCCAGGACAGTAGTGGTATGTATATAAAGTCTTAATTCTTTTGTTGTCTTGTTAGCAAAAAATGTTATTGTATCACTTACAGGAGCTCTTTACATTTCAGAACATGATCTCATGGGTAACATTTTGCTTAGTTGTGCTCTGGATAATCAAGTTTCTGGTTAACTGAATATTTGGTAGTGAAAAGTATGGTTAACAGGGTCCTGTATGTAGATATTTTGGTGTGTGCAAGTCACCAAGAATTGATGTTAGGCCAAGCAGCTCTGTTGTATACAATGCCACAGTGGTTATGGTCTTAACAGTGCTGCTGTGGTGGACTTCTGGCTGAGTTTTTCATAAATTTGACAGTATATGTAATTGCAATCCTTTGATAAACAAATTCCCTTGCAAGAAATTTTCAAATGACACCACCTTGCACGTAACAGGCAGAGAGACCTTACCAAAGAGTCAAACATGGCTTACATCAACTGTTCGTGCTACATTTCTTCCGCCTTCTCCAACGACACTGACTCCATAGTGCCGTTTGTGTTACCCACTTTATATTCAGAGGCTGTTTAATGTATTTCACTAGTCAGGATGTATTTAATGTATCTTTTATATTATAATAAAAGTGTGATGTGTGGGTATAGTGTTTCATTGACCCCAATACCCTGATAAGAGGAAGTGTCCATGAGGGAGATTGGATGTGTAGATTTATTGTTGCCTCTTAGCATAGTACATACAGCATAGAATCACAAAGCAAGGTTGATTGCATACAAGGAAACGTATTGTTAGGCAGATGGTGAAAGCTAGGTTAATCAGAGACACATGAGCAAACAGTAAGATACTTATTAGAAAACATTTGTCCTGAGACGATCACTTTTTTATGAGCCAAGAATAGTGTGTATATAGGCAAAGTGAAGTAAATGACTGGTAGTGACTTGATGAAAGTGCATTGCTGTGGTGTGGGCTAGGCTTAACCTTGTCATGTATCAGGTATGCTAGTGTTTTCGATACATACCTTCCAGCTTTTTAATCTACGTGTCTGATGACCAATGAGGCTTCCAAGCATTTTCAGTGTCTAAGATTGGTTTCAGAGATGAATGAATTGTATGTCCTTTTCCAACTCCACAAGCCCTCAAGGGAGGTTCCTTGATGCTAGTGAGGGGCTCTTGATCTAGAGAATTTGATTTGTGCTCCAGTTCCCTGAATTGAGCCTGATTACCTTCCATCCCCCCCCCCTCCTCACATGCACTGCATAATCCTATGGGTTTAGCACTACCCCCATGATTATGATTATAATCCAACTCCACTAATGCTTCTTCAGTGTCTGGGGGGGACACTGGCATTGCAGTTATAATAACTAAGCTAAACCCACAAGGGTCATACACAGGCATGCGAGTTGAAAAGAGGTACAACTCTTTCATCCCTGAAACCGATGTTTGACGTTGAACATGGCTGGAAGCCTTATTGACCACAATTATAATAACCAAGTACTAAACACAAGTGTGACCACCATCAACAAAGTGGATCAAAAGCTTTCAAATAAATCTGAAAACCCTAGCATGCCTGCTTTTTCCATTGGACTAAGCCATTTACTTTGACAGTAAATCAGGGGACATTATCGGCTACCTGACACCACCTTGCTCCTCATACTGTGCACTTTCGTTAGGTCACTAGTTGATACAACTCAGTATATACTGTTATTCTTGACCATTTGCATGTTGGAATTGATCAAATCTCTAGTGTTTGCTCAAGTGTGTAAATCACTTGTTCATTTCCAAGGTTTATACCATCTCTGTACAGTACTGAAGAACTCGGGTTTAACAACTTTCCTTTATAAGGGACAGGCAGCTAACTTTTAAGTCATGTTCATGGGGAGCACTAAACCCATAGGGATCAGTGCCTGGGGATGTGGGAAGCATTCAGGGTTCATTTAATTAAGGAAAGGGATCACAGGTCCAATTCCTTGTTATCAAATGACCTCATTGACTTCAAGGAACCTCCCTTGATGGGTTAGTGAACCCATACAAGGCAATCATATTTTATCCAAGGAAAGTGAAGGTTGCCGTGATTCCTTGGATTAAGAGCCCTCCATTTGCATCGAGGCATCCCCCACTCCCTTTGGAAAAGTTTTGTTGCACATTATCGGAAGGGAGCGCTAAAGCCGTAGAGATTATATAGCGCCTGTGGGGGAGGGAGGAGTGACAGCGTTCAGGGAGCACTAATTGCCTACCCCTCAAGGAAGTTTCTTGATGCTGGTGAGGGGGCTCTATCTAGGGAATTGGATCTGTGCTCCAGTTCCCCAAATTAAACCTGAATGCCTTCCATATCCCCCTACAGGCGCCGTATAATCTTACTGGTTTAGCGCTTCCCCCTAGATTATAATCAAATTCCCTAGCTCAAGATCTCACCAATATCAAGAAATCTCCCTTGAGGGGAAGTTTTGCTGCATAGCTAGGTCAAGTTAGCCCTTTCACGGGAAGTGCCTTGATAAAAGTGAAGGGCTCATGGTTCAAGGAATTGGAGCCAGCCAGCATCCTCTAATGGATTCTGGCTTCCATTTGCAATACAGCTACCGATTAATAAAATAGGGCTAAAGTTATGCAATATTTTAACTTAAATTTGCACTCTTACATAGCGCTAAATCCGTAGGGATTATACATCGCATGTGGGAGGGGGGCGGGGAGAATGGAAGGTATTCAGGCTCTGAGTGCTGTGAACCCATAGGGGGCGAAACAACCCACAGCAGTCGACACGTGGGAGAATCTAGGCATTTATTACTACAAATCAAAAGCATTAAACCTGCGAGGCATTCACACTTGGGGTAGGGTAGTTGAAATTATAATGGGGAGCGCTAAACCCGTAGGATTATACAGCGCATGTGCGGGTGGGGAATGGAAGGTATCCAGGAAACCTGAGCAAATCAAATTCCCTAGATAAAGAGCTCCCTCACCAGGATCAAGGAACCTAGAGTTTAAAAATCTCATGAAGTGTTCAACTAGGGTAGTTTAAAATTAACTGAGCAGCTAACGGGTGTCAAGTATCTTACCACTAAGTTTTAACGACAATGTGCCAGGGAAATTAAGGTCCCTGGTTGCAGGATTTTCGACAAAATTGGGAGAGCTTTAATGCTAAACTAAATTTTCCTGGACATTTTAAACCTTAAAGCATATTAATAGGGATCCCCCCCCCCATATTTCCATAAATTCCAGTATAAAGTTCGGACAAACGAAAGCTTGAAATTTTACTAAAAATGGGGAATTTAAAGTATAGGTTAAATTTTAACATTTTAATTTTTATAATACGTGTGATAACAGTATGTAGTGTAGCGTTACCCCATGAGTGTTTTTAAGTGTTGGTGTTATGTACAAGGTCTCTCGACCTGTGGTCGCTACAGAGCCCCGGGTCGCCTGGAATGTAGCCGGGACTTCACACTGACTCACTCCAGCCGGCACGCCCCCAACCTTCTAAGCCCCCTACTTATAGGGCCAAAAATGTTGGGGCGCTCCTCTGCATAGCAGAGCCCGGCTCGCCCTCACCCATAGAGGGTAGAGCCGAACTTTACTTCGTAAAAATACTTAAGCCATCTCCTTCTCAATCTTAATGAGCTCGAGGATACCATCCTGCATCTCCTTAACAGCCTGGTACTCTGTGAGACCCATGCGACGCTTGTTAGAAATGTCATAGATACCACCCTCAGCCTCTGTATGCTCACCGCGGGTACCGCGAACCTGGAGGCTGTACCTAGCAGCTACTTCCTCGAGCTTCTCACGGTTAGCAGCAAGCTTGGGGAGCTTTATGTGGACGGAGGCACGAATAGTGGTTCCCAAGTTGGTGGGGCAGAAAGTAAGGAAGCCCAGACGATCATGGTGAGAGAAGGGAACACGCTTTTCAATGTCATTGACAGCAGTAACAAGGCGGCGATACACCTGGCCCAAGTCACCACCCATCTGCATAGAGATAATGCGGAGATGATCCTCCTCATTGCACCAGACAAGGAAGGTCTTTTTGTCATTGTGGTAGATACCACGACCAGTGGGCCAGTAACGGCAAGCATTGGCAGCCTGAAGGAAGCGGTCACCCTCCTTGAACAAGAAGTGGTCATCGATAAGTTTCTGCTGCACTTCCTTTGTCATGCCAGTGAGGGGATAGTAGGTACCCTTAAGCTCTCCCTCTAGGCCAGACAGAGTGGAAGAAACCTTCTCTTCCATCTCCTTGTAATGAGCCTCTGTAAGGCAGGGGTTAAAGGGGTAGCCCTCTAGGGAACGGCCGCAGCGCACACGGGTAGAAATAACGAATTTCCCTTCAGGGTCCACATTTACGAACTGGTTGACATCACCGAAGTCCTTAGCAGGGTGCTTGTCTGTCTGCTTGAAGCCTTTATGGTAGTCCTCAATGATTGGGTCGAAGAGGGGAGAGAAGAGAGAGTAGGCCTCGGCATCTGGAGCATAGATACCCACGCCAGAGTCCAAGTTCTCTACACCTGAAAAAAAAAAGGAAAAAAATTTAAACTTAACTAAATGGACTAGAAGAGGCTACAGCAGTTGGTATCGATATTTGGCAATAAGTTTCTCCCCCCCCCCGCTTTCCGCCCTCGAACTAGGTCGAAGTCATTACACTGAAGATTTGCTGTGGTTGCAAATTTGTGAAACTGGCTAGATGCAACGATTTTTTTTTTTTTGGGGGGGGGGGCGGAGGGGAGGTAAGCTTACAATTCCCGAGTAAAACTGCCTGGGAAATGGATGCAATCTGGTTAGTCAGAGTGGAAGGGATAAAATTCCCCCTCGTCTGAATGGAAGCTCTTTAAGGCGTCAAATTACATAAAAGGGGAAGCGCTAAACCCGTAGAATACAGCGCCTGTGGGGTGGGGACTAATGATGTGTAATGTATTCAATTCAGGGAACTGGAGCACAGATCCAATTCCCTAGATCAAGAGTCCCTCGCTATCGTCAAAGAACCTTCCTGGAGGGGAGTTTAATATCTCTAGGGGGAGGCGGGATTACAGGGTCATCAAGTTAGATCTTAAAGGTAGGATTGGCAAGATAACTCGCTAACATCAACGCACCTTGAACCAAGTAACTTAGTATTCATAGTTTAATCATTGGGGCAAGCGACTTTATCGCTACTCTATTCTAGAATAAAGGGGGGGGGGAAATGAAGGGGGAGGCGCTACGTACCGGACTGGATGACATCGAGGAGAGTGGCACCAAGGCCTGTCTTCTTGGCCTTGAGACTGTCAAAGATGTCCTTAGAGAGGTACTTCTTCAAGAGTGACTTGCAGTCAGTTGCAGCCTGCAGCTTCTTGAAGCCTTCCTCCAACTTGGCGATAGTTGCAGCGTCAGCCATGTTTGATGAATTGTCTTGGCTGTAGAAGAAAGTAATGTTAAAATAAACTTAAACTTAATTTTACTAAAGCTTTAAACTAATTCTAGGCAGCTTGGGAAAAGTATTAGTCCACTTACTAGGAAGTGAAGTTTTTAATTTACCACGAGGATGCTGAGCCGTGTTTTGACTTGGGGAAGCTGTTAATAGTGAAGCTAAATTATTTCCTCCCACCCCCATAAACTTAGCACACCACGTGAAAGGTGTAAGTTATACAATTCAACTAACTTTTCTATGAAGAACAAAGGTAAAAAATCAGAAAACTGGCGAGGATCGAATCCATGGAAAGCGGGTCCTAGAATTCGCAGGCCAGCAAGTGTGCTTCAACTTTGCCAGCTGGCTCTGGCAACCTTCATCCAACTAAGTATATTTCTGTATACCATAAGGTTACCACGAGCCCAACCTAGCAACATTTTTCAAAACTTGTCCTGCACCAGCATGTATTAGATTTTCTTTAAGTTATTACCATTTAGTGAAGATTTGTCATGGGGATGGGGGGGGGGATTTAACTTTATGCACTAAAAATGGTATAGTACAGCACAAGATTTAATAAAACAGCCTGAAACTGTCATACAATTTACCATAGATTTTAGTCAATAGTAGGAAAGAAAAAATAACTAGTTATATGATACAGGGTCTTTGGCATCAGTTTATGCGTATCATGAATACCAGAACTATCAAATTCTAGTTTGGAACGTTAATTGGGAAACCAGTGGCTGTTGTATAGAAGAATTAAGGCAAAGTAAATCTATGGACGGGGAGAACACTTTTTTTTTGGGGGGGGGGGGCCCATGCCAGGCTTGATCCATGGGAGGTTTAATTCTTTGGATTAAGAACATCCCAAACCGGTGTCGAGAAATCTATACAATACAAGAGCCATGGAGTGTTTTTCCTGTCCCGTTAGTGGCTGGGACGGCGCCTGGGAGTAGTTTGTTCAGATCTTTAACCCCCGGAGGGTTAGCCACCCAGGATAATGCACGGCAGCGAGCATCATGGACTTGACATTATGGTTGTCAATCTTGGCGCCCAGGACGCGACCCACACCAGGTTCACCCAGGTACCTGCTTGCTTGGTGAACGGGACGACTGGTATAAGGAAACATGCCCAATGTTTCCACCCGTGCCAGGGATCGAACCACGGCCAAGCAATATTAGCGTTGTGTACCAGGTCACGGGACACTAGTTAAGATAGTAAGTAGTTAACACTAGTTCGGCAGTTTTAATATATTATTGCTAATTCACTGAAGAGCGCTAAACCTGTAATTAAGCCTGGGGGGGAGCAATCAATCAATCTAGATACAAGGAAAACTGCCGTGAGCACCTCAGGCATTAATGAATTGCCTTGAATTAAAGAGGTGGAAATGCCCAATATTAGTATTACTAGTAGTTCAAGTTATAGAAGATAGTCTAGGGAGGTGCGGCGCCGGCAACTGTTATCACTAGTTAACAGAGCTTTACGAGACTAAGGAACTAGATTTTAAAAACCGTGTCACTAGCGATAAAAAAAAAATGTTTGAAACACCAGGTTATACAATTAATCAAGTCACGAGATAAATTAACTTAGTAGCTGTCAGGACACAAAGAAGTCACTCAACGGAAACAATTCAAGCGTAAACACAATTATATCATTTTCCCGCTACCAATTAATCACTATTATCACGATTGCCACTATAAAAACACCCGGAAAACTAATTAGAAGTAAATATATCACCGTTGGGTTAGCAGGAGCTGTGTACGTACCGTCCAAACCTCTCCCTGACTCAGCGGCGAGTGACAAACCTGCCGGCTTTCAGCTTTATATAGGCGGGGCCCTGGGGGCGTGGCTCCTCCCGCACCCCCGCCAACAATTTCCACACACCACCAACCTTACCCACTAACAACATCTAATTTATGTCCCTCTTTGTCTTTCCTGCTTATTTAAGAGTCTTATATTATGCATAACCTCATTTTTCACCACGCTTCGTAAAAAGTAAAGTTAAACGTGAGGTAATTAACAAATATTTCAATGATAAGATAAAGACGCGTGTAGCAAGCCTCTAGGCACGTCTGCATGACAGACGTCACGGGATAAACGACCAATCACAGCTCGCAACGCAACTTTAAATATAGAGTCTCTTATTTTTTGCATGGTTCCTCTAGTGCAACTTGACAGGGAGAGTGGGAGATGGCCAAGAGTATACCGAGGGGTAGCCAGGCAAACATGGCTACTACAGCCGTTATTATAACACCAGAGATGCTAGGAGCCGGCTGGCCAGACGACGCATCTTGCTGCCAGCAGCGGCGCTCATAGTCAATCTGCCTCTCAAGAGGAAAAATAATATATTTGTAAACTCTTGATTCAAGGAACAAGAACTACCCTCCTCTTGGAGCTTCTCTTTGCCCTCTCCGTTTGTTGTCCTTTTGAAGACAGCCAGGGGTCTGTTGGTAATTTCCCTCCACTATGTATGAAATGCCTTGGCATGCTAGTAGCCTTCTTTGTAATTAATATTTTATGTGTAAACCACACATTGTAACCTTTGCAAACAAATAAACATTTTAACTTTCCCTGCGTTATTGTGTGATTCTGTGTCAAATGTTTTCTAGTTTGTGTGTGTGTGTCTGTGTGTGTGTAATCGCCTAACTGTGGTCGCAGGGGTCGATTCCAATTCCTCTGTATGTGTGTGTGTGTTTTCCTATTCACCACATAATTCCTCTCAGTATTTTGTGCATTGTTATCATATCACCCTTAGTCATTCTGTCCTCCAGTGTCATTAGGCTCAGTTTCCTAGTCGCACTACAAACCTTCGCACTTTCTCTAATCTCTTGACATGCTTGACCTGGTGTGGGTTCCATACTGGTGCTGCATACAATATGAGTGTCTAAAAGCTAGTCTTAGATGTGCCATACGCGCATTTGCTGCAGCAGTTATGTGGTTGATGTGCGCCTCAGGCGATATACTCGGCACAATACTCACCCCAAGGTCCTCTGAGTGAAGGCTGCAGCCTTTGCCCCCAGACCCTGTACTCCGTCTGTGGTCTTCTTTGTCCTTTCCCAAACTTCATAACTTTGCACTTGCTGAGGTTAAACTACAGTAACCATTTGTCAGACCAGGCCTGCAGCCTCTCCTGGTCCACGGCCGCTTGTACTCTCCTCATTAGTTTCATTCTCTTCCGTCATGGCACTCACATACAAGAAATAGCACCGGCCCTAATAATGATCCTTGTGGAACTCCATTCGTCACATGCACTCATCCTGACACCTTATACAATCACTCATTGTTTCTTTCCTGTCAGGTATGCCTGGATCCATTGTAGTGCTTTCCCTGTTATTCCTGCCTGCTACTCTAGATTTTGTACCAGTCTCTTGTGTGGCACTGTGCCAAAAGCCTTTTTACATTCAGAGAAGATGCAATCTATCCATCTCTCTCTCCCCCCTACTTTGTTTGTGAGACTTGATTTGCCATCTTAATTAAGCCGTGCTGGCTGTCATGCATGAACCCACTCCTTTCTAGATGCTGTGTGTGTGTGTGTGTGTGTGTGTGTGTGTGTGTGTGTGTGTGTGTGTGTGTGTGCGTGTTAGCAGCTCGGCCACTATCATCCAGCATGCATGAAGCCAAAAGGTCAAATTTCAGCTCCATGCTGTCAGCACTGGTAGCCGAGAAACTGGCTCCTGTCAACTCAAAGATGAAAAAAAATAAAAGAGACATGGATATATGAAAGAAGAGAGAGTGAAAAGTAGTATATCACGTAAGTGTCAGGAATGCTTGAAGGGGTAATATAAATGTCACCCTTCTGGGTAGTGTGTAATGAGTCACACACACACACACATTGGTGTCCCAGGTCTGACTAACGTTTGTGTTTGTATCTTTATGAAATATTTAAACGGGTGAGGCTCAAGTGTCAAGACCATCCACCAATGAGTGCTGCTGTGACAGTCTCCCTCTACCACGGCTACAGCAACAGTGAACCTCTACCATCAACACAGTAATACTATTTACCCTAAACTTGACTAGTAACAATAAAAAGTACTGTACTAGTCCTCGGCAAGTAACTAAGACGTGCATATATATGCAAATCTACTGCTGACTTGGATATTTCCTCGTAAAATATTAAATATCCCATCATGAAAAGTGATATTATTATTATATTGAAATCCGGAGGCAAAACCCCTACGTTCACACAGAACGTAGATCTACGTTCGCTCGCACAGTGCTCCAAACGTAGACCTACGTTTTTTTTTTTTACATAAGAACGCATGTAAAATCGAACGTAGATCTACGTTTGGAGAGTTTAAGGGTTAATAATGTTATAGTAATACCTGTGCATTGTCTGGGGTAAAGAAGCTAGAGAGTGACTTGTCACGATGTAGCCTCGTCCCTTGCTTGAATATAAATGAAATGAATAACAATCACCAAGAAGACGAGGAATTTCTTCAGGTTATTAACCCTAGTGGGTTATTAAGACTGATAGTTAACCCCTGAAGGCTTTTCAGGGAGGAACCCTGATGCTGGTGAGAGACTCTTGATCCTTCAGGGAGGTACCTTGATGCTGGTGAGACTTGATCCTTCAGGGAGGTACCTTGATGCTGGTGAGACTATTTATCCTTTCAGGGAGGTACCTCGATACTGATGGGAGACTATCCTTCAGGGAGGTACCTTGATGCTGGTGAGAGACTATTTATCCTTCAGGGAGGTACCTCGATACTGATGGGAGACTATCCTTCAGGGAGGTACCTTGATGCTGGTGAGAGACTATCCTTCAGGGAGGTACCTTGATACTGATGAGAGACTATCCTTCAGAGGTACCTCGATGCTGGTGAGAGACTATTTATCCTTCAGGAAGGGAAGGTACCTTGATGCTGGTGACAGACTCAGGGTGTGGCTTATTTCCACTGAAGTCCTCCCCAAAACACCATCAACAACAACCAACACCCAGGTAGCCATTCACTGCTAGGTGAGCAGGGACAGCAAGTATAAGGTGACTTGCAAATGTAAAATGTATGTCTC